CACAACAATGGCGGCTTCAGTGGGTGTGGATGTTGTGTATGTAAAATTAATAAAAGTTTAAATTGTTGCTAAAGGCAGGGGCTGTTGGGGGACGGGACATTGGCCATGGGCGCAGGGCCAACAGGAACAGGAAGTCCAGAGGGGTGGAGTGGTGGAGAGTGGTGGACAAAGAGGGGTTTCAAAAGGGGGTTCTGCAGACAGGATGCCTTGACAGCAGCGTCTCCGAAGTCAGTCTCTGGAATGTTTAATGGCCGCATTTCGTTTCATTAAAAATGTATGCGGCCTTAAAAGCTTTCGTTGTTGTTCCTCTTCCTGTTGTTATTGTTATGTTTTGTTAGCATTGCTTTGTTGTCAGTCAGTCAAGAAGGGGGCGGCCAACGGACGGACTGACGGGGGCGTGGCAGGCTCCTGGCGAAGCGATTCCGTTGCGATGCAATAAAGGCGTTGATAAAAATTGTGTCACTGCTCAGAAGCTGACAAGGCGAAATGAACCATAACTGTAGCATTCAGCTGGTGACTGAAAAGAGTACACAAAATATATATATTTCCTATAGTATCAAAAGTCAACTCATTCATAACTATTTTTTCAGAACAATAGAAAGTTAAGGTTAAAGGTAAAACATCACAAATTGAAATACGTATTGCAACACAACAAATTCCAAACTAACTTATCAATAAATACTTAATCAGTGATGAGTAATCACACTCTTTTCTCCCTGTGTATTGGCACCAAAGCAAATAGTTTAGCCTTTTTGCAGACCCAGCCCCATTGGAATTTATTGTGTGGATACTCAAGCTGGCCATTAATCTATTTTTATTTATTTCTACTTATGCGCGACCATCCACCCAAAAAAAAAAAAAAACGAGATTAAGAGTGGGAAACTCGTGCGGGAAATTATAAGCAATTGAAATAAATCAAAGTCCAAATGGCAAATAAAAAATGCTTTATATAGAAATTTCCTCCCAACCGACCAGCACCAAGAAAAACCGTGGAAAATGGTCTAGTCTGAAGTGGGAGTGATAAAGGGGGATTTGGAGACAGAAAAAGGTCAATATTGTTTCAGCTTTGGGCTTATTGCTGTTTATGACACACGCCCCCATATGTGGACATACATAAAGCCTTTAACACAACAATTGAAGGATAGCCAAGGTGTCAATGAAAATAATTCGATTTACTTAAACTTCTTCACCCCGCCAGTCGTAAAAACAATAAAGAAATATATTTGTCAAAGCTGAGAATGCATTAATTTGCAATTACATGTCTATTAATTATGCATAAATACCGCCGACATAATGTTAAGTAATCGTTTTAACTAATAGACTTTTTTTTAATTTCGCTTTATGTATGCTAAAACTTTAAACAGCTATATATTCGTTCTTATTCTCTTACTAGTAGTAGCATTTAAAACTTGTGTAGATATTTAGTAGTGTTGTTGGTGACGCTTTTGGGCCTTAGTTTATGTGGAATGATATAAATCTGAGTTGTGTCCTTGGTCGTTGGTCCTTGGCTCCATCCCATTTTCTTCTATCTCCATCTGCAATCCACTCAATTTCTCAGCCATCTTCATCTGCGTCTCCATCTCGAGGTTGGCATTTCTTTCAGTTTTTTTCTTTTTTCAAGTGGCGACATACACAATTTATATTGCCATTCGCCCACATTTATTGCGGCAATAATTCATTTAATTTTCCTTGATTTACTTTGTCAAATGTGGGCGGGGTGGTGTCCCTTTTTCCTTTTTCCTATTTCTATTGCTATACCCATTCCCATTCCCATTCCCATTCTTGCTGTCCATGTGAAGTTCTATCGCGCATCATTGGAGACCACTTGTTAAGCGGGCATTTCGCTGAGTTCCGATACCCTTGTAGTGGGTGTTTCAATTTGAGGCAAGAGTTAGATTCGCAATTTAAGTACTGGACAAGTTTCTAGTTTAGTGACTATAGCTATAATGAAGTTACTTTTAATGAAAATCGAATCTATAACAAATGTCCAAGTATTATTTTTATTAACAGAAATCAAAAGTGATACAAATTAAAAACTGGAGAGGTAGATAAATAAACCCCCAAATGATAACTTAAAATAAATTTGCTTTTGTTAAAATATCTTATATCCTTATACCTCTTAAATTATCATTTAGTTTCCTCTCTTCACTCCTCCTGACTTAAATAATAATTACAATAATAACAAATAATAAATAATATATACAACTTTTATTAATGTGATATATATTTAAATTTAATTTTTTTGTCAAGTTGGTAAGGATATATCAATTAAATTGAAATATGAACTTGATAAGCCTTAATTAAATTAAAATTTACTGCGTGGTACTCAAAAGGCATATTGGCCGAAAAATTACATCAAATTTGGGAATTATGACCGAATAAATTCAAAATAAATACATTTTATTTAACAATTTTTGGGTGTACACTGTACAGGGTATTATATGAATCGGATCCCGATTTCAGCTCATTTTTCCTGTTTTTATTTTCCTAACTAGCTACCCAAGAGAGTGGTGGATGTGTAATTTATGCCACGTTTGCCACTTTTGTCATTTGGCACGGCTCCATTCCGCTCGCCCCATGTTTGTCTTCTCCTTTGGGGTTCGTTCCAGTTCGCTTTTGGTTTTGTTTTGTTTGTCTGCCTTTGTTTTATTGACACTTTTGATCTTTTCCAATGCATGCACGATTCATTTATTATGTATGTGTGTGCGAAGGGTGGTGGATGGTGGGTAGTGGGTGGTGGGTGATCCGCCAAAGAGAAAGAATATCCTTGTGCACACTGATTGATACATAGGCTCGGGACAGGACCACGCCTACCTCAAGCGCCCGTAATTTGTTGACAAATGAGTTACAATAATGTCACATTATCAGTTCATCACAATAAAATTATACGCCCAAGGCCATTTCCAAAGCCCACCTCCAAGGAGCCAAGGGATCCGGTTGGGCATCCTTTGGTCACTCGGCCCTCACAATCGCGTGCAGAGAGAGAAAATTAGAGTGTATTAACAGTAATGCGATTTAATTTATATAATCCATTAGAAATAATTTTCTAAAAATAATACATCTAATAAATAAAGACAAAATAGGTGCCACTTAAAATATAGCTTAACCATTCAAATGTTTCTAAAATATTTTAATAAAAGGCTGTTATTTCTGACTGAGATTTTATTTAATGCAACTGGCAGATTTGGTAGCTAAGAGGAAAAGAATTGTTTTAAAAAAATCTGTTTAATAAATACACCTTATCAATTTAATCAAATTAAATATCTGGAAGACAACATATTTACCAATTTTAATATATACCTAAACCAAATTAATAGTTTAATAAGTTGTTGTTATTTTTGAAAGTGATTTTCTTTTAAGCAACTGGCAAGTTATTTTTGTTACCTTTAAAATTATAAGTCTAAGAATATTACATGTTATAATACTTAATACATTTTAATTAAATTAAATATATGGAAGACAAAATGGGTACCAATTTTAATATATAGCTAAACGATTTTAATGTTTATAAAATATTTGAATAAATTATTGTTATTTCTGAATGTGATTTTATTCAACGCAACTGGCTAGTTCATGTTGCTGCCTTTATATAAAATATTTGGTTGCTATGAGTTTTCATTAAACCAATATAAAATTGATTTTTAAAATGTTGTAGATAATCTTTATCTGATACAGCAAGTTGAGATGCATTTTCGGTGCTATTTTCTTTCCGTGCTGCTTAATTGGCTCTGGCCGAGTTTATGGCATCGCCCTACCCTGCGGACAAAGCTACTTAAGTGCCTCGGCATTGGCATTGGCATTGGCGTTGGCATTGGCATTGGCATCCACAACAATCAGTCCGGAGGAGCTCGGAAACCTGTTAATCATCGGGGGCAAGGATGTTGGATTGGGGGCACAGGATGGGATAGGATGGGATGGACTCGGATGAGAAAGCAATGCTTTCGCTTGTCATGGAGCGCATTAGGCCCAGATAAATGACCAGCAGGAAATGGCAATTCCAAATTCGCACAAATTCAAATGATTTGCCAAAAGATTTGGCAGCTTGTCAGGCTCGGTTCTCTGGCCTCTCCATATACATATATATACACTAAGATATTTTTATATACATATATATATATGTATATATATATATATATATATATATATATATATATACAGAAACCTTATCGTGGCGTGACGTAGGAGAACGGCGCTGCTGAGGCAACTGTACTCGGGAGCCAAAGTCATTTGACAAACGCCAATTGACAGGAATCGAAGACGGGACTGCAAAACAACAAACAAAGCCGAACAGAACCAAACGGAGACAGCAAAAAATTCATTTTTGATTGCCAAATGAACGAATGACGAATGACTGATACCAAGTCCAAATCGGAATAGGAATAGCAATCGCAATCGCAGGCGGCGTTGGTTGGGATAAGTAATGGGGAGCAGGAGTTTGTCAACGTGATAAATGCCATTTTAAGTCCCGAATAATGATTCGCATTCGGGATGCCTCGCGTTCCAATACAATTTTTCACAAGTCAAATAAATTGGAAATATTAATTTCTTTTTTTTATGAAAAATAATTTCTTTATTTTTATGGCATTGAACGGGGAGTCGAACTCCTTCGGTTTCAGTTTTATTGCCCTGTGGTTATGTCCATGAACATGTTTGCGATCCCAACTCGAGAAGTATATAGAATTTAATGGGTCCCAGATCGAGAGGCTTCTCGGGTTACCACAATTGGTCCCCCACCCGAAAATTTCCATTGGGCATGTATACTGGTTAGGGAACCCTGCCTCAGTTGTGTTGTCGCGGCAACTTGGCGTAAAAACAAGGGCATTTGTTTGGATATTCTTCGCACTTCAGTGGCCGAGTCAGCAAATCTCAACCCAAAATGTGTACATAAGTTATATATGGTTTAATGCGATCCCTTGTATATAAGAGCGAATTTAGAGCGCCATGGGTTAGTTGAAATGTTTTCTTTGAAGGCAGCTTCACTTTTGATCCGACACGCCAGCAAGTCAGTTCTGCTTTCAATTCTTCAAATTCCCTTTGCGAAAGTAGCCCGAAGAATCAAACAATTGAAAAGAATTTTATTTTCACAAAGAAACTTAATTGGTAAAATAAATCAAATATCTAGTGACATATCCAGTTTTATACGTGTAAATCTTTCTTTTACAGGACTCAGGCAGTCAAAAAAAGCATAGCCAGTCAACGAGAATTGCAGCTTTTGGAAATTTATATCCAAAAAAAGATCAAAATGGAGGAAACTACGGCTGCAGACAGTGAAAGATCCGTAATGGATACCCAAAGAGTACTAGTGGAAATTGATATACCCGACATGGTTCAATTGTTACCCACGTTCGATGGTGACCAGTATACACTTTCTGATTTTATTGGGAGTGTAGAAGATATGGTAATTAACGTTGTTAAAAGCATTTACAAAACGGAGTGTCCAGTTTTTATATTGAGAGCTATCCGAAGGAAAATCGTCGGGGAGGCTAACAAAGTGCTCATTAGGGAACGAACAAAGCTAAGTTGGGACGAAATAAAGAATGCACTCATAGACAATTTTGCAGACCCTAGAAGTATGCATACTCTAATGTTAGACTTGCGTGAAATCCCGAACTTCGGACTGACAATTTACAACTTATATGTAGAAATTTCAAAAATTAGATGTGCATGTTTCGATATTTTAGAGAGGCAGGAGGATAATCTGGAAATTCGAACAACTCGAGAATTTTTTTATGAAAATAGGTTTCTAGACACTTTCATAGCTGGTCTTCGGGGACCTTTAAAAGTTTCGGTACTACGCAAGAATCCGCAGAGCCTCAGGGAGGCAAATAAAATTGCCATGCAATTAATAGATGATTTTCACAGAGAAAGAAAACAAAAGATAAATTATAACAAAAGGCGGATCTACACAAATAAATTGTTTTTCAATTCAAGCCGAGAATGTCAGAATGCCAACAAAAATTTTAAGGGACCAAATAAAATGTAATTTATTAAAAACAAAATGTTATTCACCAGATCTATGTTTTGAGAAAAAAAAACAATTTTATTTTGACCATTAAGCTGTCAATTGAAATAATGGGAATACAAATTTATGATTCCACTTTAGAAAAAGAGAACGCGTTACATAAATAACCATATTGAAAAATTAAATTAAAGTAAAACAAATACTTTTTGGAATTATACCACCAATTTGTTCTTCATAATTTTTTTAAAACTTAGACCTTAAGCTTCAATTTAAGAATAAATTGTTGCACAAAAATGTAATTTCAAAATTTTACCTATGCGAGGTGTGCAATTTATATGCAGTTAAGGTCAAAATTCTGGTAGTTTATAAGCTTATGGAAATATTTATCAAATTTAGTTGTGAGAGTCAACTTTTGAAAATTAGTTTTAAATTTTGTTTAATAACTAAAACAATGTCAAAGTACTTTAAAATCTGATTTTGTTTTTTGTTTGGCTTGCATTATGATAAATTACAAGAAAGGTTGTCCTATGCCTTAATGATATGTTCCTAAGCAATTTACATTTTCTCTATTATTTTGACCGCAGCTGCATATGTTCTTGAAACAAACAGTCGATTTGGAATAGATGAGATATAGAGGATAAAATTACTTATTATTTTCTGGAGCTTATGTTAAAGTAAATAAGGTTAACCCTGATTGTGCCTAAAATTCGACAATTTTTTCTTAACTATCATTAAGCTTAACAAAACGACCTATATAAAACGATGTAAGGCAACATATCGGACACATTTTATACATTTTTATAACATACATTTTTCCAATTGAATTATATTTAAAGAATAAAAATATTTGATTCCATTAGTTTCGTTTTCATCAAACAGCATTCAAAATCCAAGCATGTGTCCACTCAAAGTGATCAATAAAAGTACTGTCAATGCCATTGTACTGCCAACCTAAGATACCCTCAGAATATCCCTTTCAAGGCGTATGACAAGCTATGCGGGCATCTTCCTCCGGATTTTCATTCACTTTTTACACATTTTTAATAAGTTCCATGGCTGGGGGCTGCTGGGACCTGGTCAGCCGTGAGGATATGCCCCAGAGGAGCCCCTCCCCCTTTGGGATGGCTTCCTTCCGCTACACAATACACGGAATTCGCCATTGACCATCATTCATCATTAAATTGTTTCGCTAACTGTTTTCAACAATATTTTTTTGGTGTACGCGTGCTGACAAGCCGCTCCCTGTCAGCTCCCCTGTCAGTTCCCCTCAACAACCCTCTACCCCCCTCACCGAACAGGGGCGGCGTTTTTGCTACGCTCCCGAAGTTTGATGAATTTCTTTTTTATTCATTTCGTCGCAGGCTTCTCGCCCACACGCCCACACGCCCCAGAATCTTCTCATTCAGCGCCCAAATGTTTCGCCTTTTCAGTTTGCTTTATTTCATTTTATTTCAGTTCTTGCTTGCCCGCTTCTTGTGTCTTACAATATTTTTCTAATCAGTCAGCGTCCACGTCCGCTTCAAAATTTTTTGTTGTCTTCCTTCGATATTCGTCTTATTGTATTTCCTATCCATTTTTTTTGTGTTGTGGGCGCCATTTCGATGCGGGCCACTGATTATGCCTACCCAAAAAGGATGCCGGCGCGCGGAAAAGTTTTGGGGAAAATTCGGTTGTTGGCGGCGAGTCAAGGCATAAAAGCCTAAAAATCATTTTTGAAACTCAGAGCCAATGGATCCTTGATTCCTCACAGAAGGTAGTTGAAAAAAAAAAATGTACGCATATTTCTCTCAAAAATCTTGCAAATTTGGACAGACGTCCACGTAGTGGCGACTTTTGTAGACAGCCGCAGAATAAAATAAGAGCTTAAAATCGGTCAGGAATAGCAATGATCAAAATAAATGTTTAAAGCCTGTTTCAAAACCTGGGCGCATTCTTTTAATACCTTCCAATTTTGGGGTTTCCAAGTTGTAACGTCACTTTAGAGTTTTTCTCATCACTGCACTAAATAAATAAATCGCTGTCCACCTTTCCTTATCAATTAAAAGCATTATATCTTAAAATATTCCACAATCAACAAAGTAAGACAAGCAAACAAAGGAAGTTTGTATAAGCAAATACAAATGACTAACGTCTACACGGCGGTAAAAATATTATTTAACAAGAAAGGAAGCCGAATGCAATACTCTTGAAAACATTAAAATTATAATTAACTTTCGTATATGTTCAAAAACATTGAAGCTATGATGATTTGCAGCTAAATTATTCGATAGTTCATATGGCAGCTTTATGACATCGTTTTCCGATTTTAATAAAATTAAAAGCATAATTCTGAACTGTTAAATTATTAACAAGTCAGAATGAAGTTCAAAAAAATTAATTACAAAATAGATATAGTCGGCCGATTGTGATGAAATTTAAATCGTAGTTCTGAAATATTTAACCTTTACTATATGTCGAAGAAAAAAAAAATTATTAATAAATAGCAACGTCCGCTTCAATTTTTTTGTTGTTTTCCTTCGATATTCGTCTTATTGTATTTCCTATCCATTTTTTTGTGTTGTAGGCGCCATTTCGATGCGGGTCACTGATTATGCCTACCCAAAAAGGATGCTGGCGCGGGAAAATTCGGTTGTTGGCGGCGAGTCAAGGGATAAAAGCCTAAAAATCATTTTTGAAGCTCAGAGCCAATGGATCTTTGATTCCTCTCAGATGGTAGTTGAAAAAAATTTCAAAATCTTGCAAATTTGGACAGACGTCCACGTAGTGACGAAACGTCTTAGAAGGCGACTTTTGTAGACAGCCGCAGAATAAAATAAGAGCTTAAAATCGGTCAGGAATAACAATGATCAAAATAAATGTTTAAAGCCTGTTTCAAAACCAGGGCGCATTCTTTTAATACCTTCCAATTTTGGGGTTTCCAAGTTGTAACGTCGCTTTACACTTTTGCTCATCACAGCACTCAATAAATAAATCGCAGTCCACTTCACCTTATCAAGCATCAACAGTTAAGATAACCCACCATCAACCAAGTAAGACAAACTAACAAATGAGCAAATACAAATGACTAACGTTATAATCTCTTCCGCTAGGCGGTTGGAAGCAAAGGAAGCAAACATCGGCAAGTCGAAGTTCATATACCCCTGCAGCTTTTGCAAAAATTAAACAAAAATTTAAAAACATTAAAGCTTAAATTTTTGACAGTTGCTATGGCAGCCATATGAATAGTTTTCCAATTTTAATAAAATTTAAAAAAAATTAAAAAAAATTAAAAAAAAAAAATTACAAATCATCATAGCTTCAATGTTTTTAAACGCAAGAAAATCAAAATTTTAATGTTTTCATGAATATTTAGTTTTTGCAATAGCTGTTTTCTTTGTTGTTTTAAATTTAATTTTTTTTTTAATATTTTAATTGTTCCCATGGGAGCTTTATGTTATAGTCGTCCGATTTTGATGAAATTTAAACCGTAATTCTGAAATATTTAACCATTACTACATGTCGAAGAAAAAAAAAATTAAAAATCAGCAAAGTTATAATTTTTTTTTCATTTATTTTTCCGACTGTTTCGATCCGGCTCGTTCCGATAGAATGACAACTTTTGGGAAAGTTTCATGTAGATAACTTTAAAACTGAGACACGGACATGGCTAGATCCGCTCTCCTAGTGATGCTGATCAAGAGAATATATATTGTTTATAGGGTCGGAAATGTCTCCTTCACTGCGTTGCAAACTTCTGACTAAAATTATAATACCCTCTGCAAGGACTTACAATTTGACACTTTATTCACTTCATAGCAGTATGTAAATCAAGTATATACTATATGCTGCTGTATTTAAGACTATCCATTCGCAGTACTTTCATTCAGTTCTTTTGTGTTCCGCGATGCGTCTGCTTTCGGTTTCTTCCCTGCTCATCGCAATTCTTTGGCTGGCCTGCTTCGATGGAGCAAATGCCGAATGTTGCACCACCGTGGCGAAACTGGACTTTAATATTACTAACGGAGTCTGCGGACAGGTTAATGCCATACCGACTCGCAGAGGTTGTACTATTACTGTTTGCGGAGATGGAAAGGCGCTGGTGGGATCCTTGTGCGGTCGTGGTCCGTGCAACATCTTCGGCTGCAACTGCGATGATGGCTGCCTCTATGGAAGCTATGGCGAAAGCTTTCTGGCCAGAAATAGAAGATTTGACATCCATATAAAAAACACTGAAATGGTAGAAAAGAACACATTGAACAGTATCCTTGAATTTTTTTTAAATTTATTTTATTAACAGTTCTGGTAGGCGCTGTCTTAGCTATCATAAAAATATAAGCATATATATGTGAATACCTACCAAATATTATTCATTTATTGTATAACCTATAATATATTTTTATTGTGCAAAATATAATATACAGCACATATCAATGTTTACAATTTTTAAGGAGGAGAAGGTAAGCGTTTGTGCTTACGATTAATATTTTTTTGTAAATTTAAAATATTCTTAATAAAATTTGCTCCTTAATGTGATGCAATGGTCGTACTCGAATTGCCCTGATTTTCCTTACGGTAACTAGCATCTTGCCAACACTTTGAGCACTTTCACACATTTTTCGCTTCGTTTTTCGTTTCTTCAAAAACGGAATTCAGCTTTGCAACCAAAACAACTTTTCGGTTTTTCTCCATTTTGTTAACTTTTATGATCGAAATCAAAAAATGAACAAGCATAGAAATGGGAAAAGATTTGCTTTCCCAAAACTCAAACTGTCTTACGTGCCGTATGAGTAATTTTTATAGCAAATTTGCGCAAGGCCTTTGACTTAATTTTAAATTGTTTGGATTTTTAATTAAATTTATTTTGCACCAATATTTACTATCTAAAATGGTGAGAGTATAATTTCTTATAAAAAACCACTCTAATGTACATTAATATGTTCAAAATAGAACAATTGAGCATTGAATTGTAACAAAAAATGGAGCCACATTTAAAATGTGAAAAGGTATCTTTATAATATTTTGTTCGGTTTGTAAAAGGGTGAGCCACATACTTAATAATACATAACACAGAATACAGTAATAAAGTTGTCATTTCGGATAATAACTGTTTTGTTGGGTCTAATTTCTATTGTTTTAATGCCTGCAGTATGGATAAGTCTATGCACTCTTTAAACTCTTTTTACGATGACATTGGCTAAAATTGGGGGGTGATTTCAGAAAAGGTTTTAATAAAACTAAAATAATCGCCCGTAGTCGATAGTCAAATGATTTTTAATTAAATTTATATTCACTGATGCAGCACTTAGTCTTAAAATATAGAATGTAAAATAAAAACGTGGCAATTCTAAATGTAAAATAGATTTTAGCACTATTTAATGGCAAGCATTTTAAATGGCAACTAAGAAGTCATAGAACACTGTAAGTTGGGTTTACTGTTATGACTTTACCATTTATAATGCATTATCCATTCGCAACTTCTTGAATTTTTACGCCCCAAGAAAACCAATCATCCGTCCAGCCAATCGCTTTTGGCACATAATCCGTATATCAACTCCTGTATATCGTTATAACGCCCTGTCGCTGAAAACGTCTCAAAGTTTTGGCCCACTGAATGGGTTCAAAAAGTGCCATAAAACACCCGCTAAGACGAACTTTCCGCGGGGCGAATGTGCGGCCAAAGTTGGCTTTGTGCCGGGGGCATAATCAAGGATCAGTGGGTGGGTAAAGGGAGCAGCAGCAGGACTACGTGTCCACAAAGTGGCGCTGCGAATGGGAATGAGGGCGGGCGAAAAGAAATGATAATAATGCCCGGGTCAAAACAATATAAATGCAAATGCAGCGGCGTCGGCAGCGCAGTCGACGTCGACTCAGCGCCTTTTACAGTCCTGCAACGCATTTTAATCAGTTGGCAGTGGGACTCCGGCTCCGAATCCGACTGCAGATCCTCCGTCCTCCGTCCTCCGTCCGCCGTCCTCCATCTCCATACCCACATACCAATCTCACCGACTTTCCGTGAAGCAGTGTCCTGTCCTGAATGCCAAGTGCCACGTCGACGGGGGACAGTTTATGAGGCTGGCGCGAGAGGCGCGAAAAGTTTACGCCCGCGGCTCGTTTGTGGGCGTGGCCACCGGACGGATGTGGCCTGCACCGGAAAAAACATTCACGAAGTTGCTTGCGCATATATATATACTCCAAAAAATAAATTCAAGTGCAAGTTTAGTTTTAATAAGTGTGTCTTGAAAATAAACTACAGCCACCATTAAAGTATAAGTATTACTTCAATACTAATTATGAAAATTATGTCTTTTAATCCACATAAGATTTATTTTGATACTTTCGTGGCATTAATTTAATACTTATCTTATTGAGAAATTTAGCATACCCAATTGTTATAAATGGATGTAAAAATAGCTTACTTCCCATGACAATTTTATTTTTAGGACTATGTGACTTTAGAGGGCTAAACTCATTTCCTTTTCAGTTCGTTTTTTTTGAGCTTATTCATTCAACAATTTTTTCCACCAAACAAACTGCAGTTGCTTAGGTTTTGATTGGGATTTAATCTTATAAAAGTGTATTTGTAACTATTACCATGTAGTCTTTTTCTAGACAATGTTTTAGTTGTAAGATTTTGTTTTATTTTAATCTTTGGTCTTGGAGTGTTGACTTGTCAGCTTCTTTTTATGGCAAATAAAAAAACATTGTTGATTGCGAATAAGTCTACCACCTGTTTTGACGTGTTATTAAAATTATATTTTTTTGAATATCAACTAGTTTTGAGATAAGCAGGTACAACAGCTATACCTTCTGTGACTGTTTAATTTGAATACTTAATACTTAACTATATGGATTCTTTCAGTATCACCTTAACTAATTTTAAGAAAATATTTTTAAATCCTCAGAAAAATAATTCTGACCATTCCTTTGTTGCAAACTTTTGACTGTTTAAGCTCCTTATCAAATAAATTCCAACCTAATCTCCGTGTTTTAATTATTTTCTTCAGTGTTGCCCGGATGTGGAAGGTGTACGGTTTGGCGAGCAGCGGCGGGACTTTGGGCTGGTCCGCCCTCACTCACCTGTTGCCCTGCCATAAATCATAACTCAATTGAGTGGGCGTGGCAGCGGGAAAGGGCTGGGATCGGAGCAGGTAGTATGAAATGGAATTGATTGCGAACAGCCCAAGATTGCAGCAGCTTAAAAGGAGTTTCGTCGGTGGTCTGCACTGCAGTTTTTTACATTCTTTATAGTTCAGAGTCCCGGGCCGTAAATCAATTGTTGGCCAGGATAATTCCCTCTGATGCGATTAGCCGCTTCCGGAGTTAAGCGAGCTGTCGGATCCATGGAATCGGAGCATCGAGATCCAGTATCGAGATGGGGGGCAAACGTCGTTACGCAATTATTGGCTGTGCGCCTTTTCCGAATTTCCTCGAGGGGAAAAGTGCGTGGATGCGTTTATGCATGGCTCAAAAGCCGGCGAAACTCGCTTTTCTTATTAACTAATTAAGCCAGCTGCCAAGCCAGATGTTGCCACATTTTCGCCTGCATGTGTGTTGCCAATTTGCCGCTCTGGCTATGTCGTTGCTTTGTGTCTTCTTCGCTGCCCCTTTTTTTGGTCTTGGATCGGGAAATTTGCATTTCCAT